GCCAGGCAGGGGACGGGCGCTGCTGGTCTGGGCCGTCATGAGGCGTCGCTTCACCGACTGGCGTCTTGTTCGTCGCAATTTCTTATCGCAGGCCTGCTCCCGAAGGCGCTTCTGCATGCGGGCCTCCTGAGGGATGTAGACGTAATCTGAAAACAGAAAGAATGACTTTCAGGTCACAGCATTCTGAAAACGGTTGCTTCTTATCGCGTGGTTTGACGTGAGAGGAGGAAAATCAGCGACATTCATACATCATGCAACACAGAAAGACAGGAACAGTAAAATGCCTTTTGATCATATCTAATCGCAAAATTAAATGTTTAAGTTCATCCCATTTTAATATTATAACTTCTCGATATCTGGGTTCTGGTGCCGTGACTCGTAAGTAGATGAAAAGGTTTTGGAGAAAATAAAGACTCGTCAAAAGTTCTCTTACTTCAAATCGCCAGCAGTCAATCCCAAATAAATCAAAATCGGTGAGGTTTCTCAGAATTTTCGGCTACATTTTTTGGAATGTTCTGCTGCTTTTTGATGTTAAAAGAGAATTAATTACTTGCCAGGATATTTCCTCTTATGCTCCGCGGCCGCCTGGCGTGCGCGGGCAAAATACTCGTCCTTGTGCACTCCTTCAATGGCCCTCCACATGCAACCAAGTCTGCAAGTAGAAGAAGAAAAACTTGTAAGAACACAGGCAGGTGGTAGGACGAACGTCCAAGGGTAAAGGCAAAGGCAGTGGCGTATGAGAGCGCACGAAATGTTTCAGCTGTTCTGGACAATCAGAACATTTTCAGCAAGTGGAAATAAGATATCCAATTTCGAATTTACCTTATGCATACTCTGCCAGTTTTGGATCTTTACACTTTTACAGTGAAAGAATTGTTCCGGGCGGTCTCATAAATTCTTCTTCTCTACTGTAGGCTAGACTTCTGTCCTGTATATCATGTGTTCTGTTTATAATTAAGTAAATATAGATTCATAATCTAGCAATGAAAATCAAACCAGCCTTTAATTTAATGTGCTGAGTTTGTGAGTCAAATTTTACAAGATTCAACCCCCCCTTTTTTTAATTAATTAATTAATTACTAGGGCTCATAGTTTATCATCATAATTATCAGCATTTGTCTTTTTCTCTCTTTGAGTAGAACAAATTTCAGAACATGAGAAAATTCTCACACATAATTTTACAGGTTCGCACCGTCGCCATGTTTATAATCGTTAACTTAGTACAATGATCATGTCTGCTGAATTCGAATATCTTTGAAGACAATCTGTCATTCACGAATGCTCTGCACATTAAATTGTTAACAAGTAATTGTCCTGAAGTACATTTTGTATTACAACTTACCTCACGCTGATCTGATTGTTGCTGTCTGCAGGGTACAGGGCAGCCAGTTCTTTTCTCCATTCATTTGAGAAGATCATGAAGGCGTTAGGCGGCCTCTTTATCTTTGCGCACTTTGGTGTTTTTATTTATGGGATTTGCATGATTCTCGGTGTAAATAAGGATTATTTCCTTAAACGACATTTACCAGCTGATATATGGAATTGTGAAGTCTGTTTACGGTTTTAGTCCGTAAATATTATTTAAACGTGTTTCGATTTCAAGGGTTTAAACCGTAAATGATTATCTGCGTTGTGCATGTCCTCATAGCAACCACCAGAGTTTACAGAGGAAACGAATGGATTGTGTACATACATACTCGTATATCATTTCCGTCATTAATAATAACACGACAATAACACCAACAGTTGTCACAGCATCATAATAGAAAATACCGCATTAGCTGTCCGTCACAGCTTCTACAAGTCTTGTTCGTTCGTATTTACTTATTTCTCCCTCCTTTTCTTTTATTGCTAATGAGGGTGTGAATAATGACCATCACAAAGTCTAAATTTAAAGGAACGAGAATTTTGTCTTCCAGCATTTGTCTTTTGCACTAAAAAGGTGGATGAAACTCCGCCCGAAGAGAAATCGTTCATAGGAATGGCTTTGCTTTGTACTGCAGACATCATGTCTTGCAGACTGGATTTCTGGACAGAATGATGTCTGGGTGGGGTGGAGATTTTTAAACTCTGTATTCCTGAGACAATAATTTTACTAGGGATATTTAAATCCTTCATTTTATTATGCATAAGATTTTCACAAAGTGACGAAAATTGTTCCTCAAATATTCATTAGGCACACACAAAATTCGCAAAAATATTAATCGGTTTCCACCGTCAAGATTTCTTGGGTACTGGTAAATACATAAAATTTGGGGGGGGGGAAGAAACGTACCCAAGGTTTTAAACACATCAATAGAATTCTGCCGAGGACCCCTCTATAGGTCTCTGGCAGTTCCATAGGATGAAATCTAGACTCAACTATTAGCGGTACAAAAACACACTCCACACCTATAGAGCAATTTGAGTGCTACACTCCGTACAAATATGTCCTCACATCTTCCTGAAAGCTAAATCAATACGCCATATGTGGAAGAATACCACAGCCTGCACGTTTTAATGTGTGCTTTGATTTTCCGACGTTGGCCACTCTGCAGGAAGCCATCTTGGGAGGTACTTTCGTTTCCGCAGAGGGAGTGCTAACGGTCGGACCCTAACATAACCTAAAAGCAGGTTCCTCTCAGCTCAGAACCTTTTCTCTGCTATCTAAAATTGTACAATTAAAATATACAAAACCTTGATTTTACCCAGTTTCAAGATGGGTGTGAAGGTTGGTCTATAACACTAAGGGAGGAATGTGGACTGAGGATGAATGAGAAAAGTGGCTGAGAATATTTGGACAGAAACAGAATGAATGCTAGGCTGGAAAAAGTTACACAAGAGATGGGCAGGGCATCTAGCCCCATTTAAGACAAGGAGTCTGGTAGGCAAACCAAATGGAAAGAGACAACCAGAAGATCTAGACTGGATTCATCTGGCTCAAGATACCAACCAGTGGCACACCCTTGCAAACATGGTAATCAACCTTCAGGTTCTATAAAATGTTTGGAATTTCTTGAGTGATTGGGCAAATGTTGGCTTCTGAGGAAGGACTGGGCTTTTTGGAAGAGCAGAGCTATATGACATGTCCAAAGATGCTGCCAACACATATGTAAAAGTGCCTAATAGAGAAGTCCAGGAAGATGTTAAGGAGAAGTATAAGGAAATTCTTTATTGATGTATTTGGATTTAGGAAAGAGAACCATGATAGCTGCAGAACATTTTTTTTACAACATTACTGCCTCTGTAAATGAAGATGATTAATAAAAAAAAGAAAATGTTTACTGCATTTCACAAAAGTCAATGAAGCAGCTCTCCATTGTCCAATGTTCCTGTAACGTATCAGACTACAAATGTAACAGTGAATTAAGTGGCACTCATGGTTAGGGTCGATATTGCAGTTATTATACAAAAGCTGTTCCTTTTAACGTTAATCCTCCCCCCCCTCAGGGTGCTCTGTTCTCTCGAAATGTCAGTGTTTACTCCAGTAAACCACCTTACATGGCTGGTAGCCCTAGAAGAAATCATTACATTCAACGTTGGACGTAACATAAAATCATGAAAATATGTAAAGTAAAGTAAAGTTTGTCCCACTATATGCCATGTAGGCGTTTGGGGTGAGTGGAGGTATAGCTCCTCCCTTCCTTGACCTCTGCACTAGATGGGGGTGAGTGGTCAGCATCACGCCCCGGCCGGCTTTACCCCCGGTTCCCATTGTAGAGGAGGCTGGGTGGGCCCCAGAGCCGGTCTGGACGCAGAGGCTAGAGGAAAAATCCTCTGCCCCCGTTGGAGATCGAACCCCGGTCGTCCAGCCCGTAGCTAGTCACTATACTGACTGAGCTATACCTAATTTATATTTGTGTTATCTTTTCAATCATCTTAACTTTTAAAATTGTTTTCCTGTCATATCGTAGCATAGCAATTCAGATAAAAGATTTTGCGAAATAATGTTGACATCTATCACCACAAAAGCAAAAGCTAAACCCACACCACAGTAGAAACTGAAAATATGTACCTAATTTATATTTGTGGAGTACAGTCAATCATCTTAACTTTTAAAATTGTTTTCCTGTCATATCTTAGCATAGCAATTCAGATAAAAGATTTTGCGAAATAATGTTGACATCTATCACCACAAAAGCAAAAGCTAAACCCACACCACACTGGAAACTTCAAATAATAGGTCTTCTGAATTTGAATGGCTTTGAAGACAATTTGTTGTTCACAAATGCTCTGCACATTAAATTGTTAACAAGTAATAGTTCTAAAGTACACCTTGTATTGCAACTTACCTCACGCTTATCTCATTGTTATTTTCATGTGGGTATTGCAGAGACATTCTCTTACGCTATTCATTGGAGTAAATGATGAAAGCATTTGCTGGTCTACAGACTCTCTGATTCCACACAACAGCAAGATGACACTTTGCTGTTTCTTTTCCATGTTTTACTTTTCTCTTCTGTTGGCCATGTTTCTTCGGCTCAACTTGTATTTTGTCCCGGTGCATGTTGTCATCTTTATTTCCTGAAAGAATAGTGGAATCCATACATAATACAGTTTTAAAAGTATAAGATTCAGAATATGGTCAGCAGCATAATAAAACATGGCTGTTTCCAAACTTTTTTCTTCTCTGAAGAAGTACAAACATCTTAAGCAACTATAATGGATATTTTACAGGATCAAAAGTGTTTCTCAGGCAGTAAATTTAACACAAATTGCCAAGTAGACATTCATTGATGCAAGAATATTATTAGCAGAAACTGCGGAGGTAAATGGAGTTCAAAATTGACTCATGCTGTCATTTTGACTTGAAAACCAATGGACTGATTTTGATCAACTTTTGTACTGAAGGCACAAATTTGTTGAAGAATCCAAAATATCTTAAAGATGAGCCCAAATTATAAAATATTTTGAATAATTGCTATTTATATGACAGCAAAGTTAAAATCTGAAAATGATACCAGAGGAATCACGCCAAAGTCTACTCACTTCAAGTTACTTTTTTTGGGAAAAGAGAGATCTTACCTTTGTCATCTAAGATGCAATTCACAAACGCATCTAATTCATCTTTTAGTGTTGTTTCTGGAACACAAAAATAGAACAGAGTCAAGTATTATATTCAGCCTACATTATTTTTTTGTATCTAAAAGAATTACAGTTTTTTGTGAAATCACAAGGCAACACCATAACAACTTGGCATCAAATAAAGTGAGAATTATTAAATATGTATCACAAGTTGCAGGTAAATACACTACATATAATGAAACTAATGAAAATGGTAATCCATTAGTTCAGTTTTGCAGAATAAATAACTTAAAGGTAATAAGGAATAAAGGACATCAACAAGATTTTTATATTTCAGTATTTTTCTGAATTATCTGATAGATAAGTTATTTCCAAAAGCAACTAACATATTAGTTTTGCTGTATTTGATGCAAGTAATAGTGCCCCAGCAACAGGAATAACTAATATTTTCCACCCATGCATCATGTTTTAGTTTCTTGGGAGAAATTTTACCTACGAGATAAATGAAATTTTACATAATAACTTACGAATCAACATTTCTGTCAGAGTCTTGTGTATATAGGATGAGAAAAAAGTCTTGAGTATAATTGTAGCTGCCAGTAAAATAGGCTTACTTACACACAGTCTGTTTTATGAAATATCTGCATAGAAGTCTGAAAATGACAGCAGAGGAAACATGCCAAAATCGTTATTCACTTCAGGTTACTTTTTGGGACGAGAGAGGTCTTACCTTTTTCATCTAAGATGCAGTTTATATATGCAGCCAACTCGTCTGTCATAGTTGGTTCTGGAAAAACAAACAGAACAGAGTCAAGGATTACATTCAGCCTACATTCTTTTTTCTGTATCTAAAAAAAGACAGTTTAGTGAATTCACTCGGCAACACCACAACAACTGGGTATCAAATTAACTGAGAATCATTAAATTTTTACTGCAAGTTGCAGGTAAATACACTGTATATAATTAAACTAGTGGAAATGGTTATCCATTACTTCAGTATTTCAGAATGAATAAGTTAATGTTAATGAGAACCTGGTTTCTCTATTAGATTATTTATAAAGGTACATGGACAAGGAACATTTATAAATAATCTGTTATAATAAAGGACTTGACAGTTTTTATATTTCAGTATTTTTCTGATTTATCTGATAAGTTTTTTTCCAAAAACAACTAACTAATTGGTTTTGCTGTATCTGACATAAGTAATATAGTTCCCTGACAACAGTACAAAGAAACATGGCTGTCTCCAATGTACCAGACCCTGAGAACACATAATTTTCTTCTTTTGCTGAAGAGTTACAGACATAGGAAGCTTAAGTAATAAAAAATGCTTGTGTACAGAAGGGGTGAGGTTTAAGTAACATCATATGCGAATTGTGAGTGACAGACAAACAGTTTTGTGTTTCAAATGACACTACGAATAAAAATATTTACTACTACGGAACAGCATTACATGCATGCTAATGAGTGGTCGATTAATGAATCAGCCTTTCTGTCAGTCTTATGTAAGGCATAAATGGTACTTTTATTATACTTATGCAATATCAACTCATTTTAATTTGAGGTCACATTATGGAGGTAAGAGCCCCAAAACTATTCTGGGAATTGGCTTATGTATATAGGATGAGAAACAAGTCTTCTATATAATTGTAGCTCTCTGTAAAATAAGCTTACTTACACATGGTCTGTTTTATGAAATATCTGCATTGGAGTAACTGATTTTGAGAAAATAAATGGTAATAAGCACACAGAATGGCACAGAATCCAAGACACAATGGTCATCGCAAGTCATAAAGTTGTATCAAGGCAGAAGGTGGCCACTTTGAATATTTAAGAAAATAAGTAATTTGTTTATGTATGTGCTTGCAAAGATGTTTGTAAGGACAGACATGAAAATTCATTAATTTAAATAAATTCTAAAAAGAAACATTGATATGCATTTTCATTTCAACATCTTGTGAGTGCAACTGCAATGGACATTTCCACTGATGTCTACGAGATTTACAACATATTTCATGCACATACAAGTCACCTGCCTTGCATAAATGAAACCATTTTAATGCAGCCTCCTTTTGAGTAATTCTGCCATATTGTTTACAGTATTATTAGGTCTTCTGGGAAAAGAGACCAAATTTGGGAGATGTTTTAATAATTGTCATCATTGGCTCAATCTAACAATAACACTTGAATTAAATTGGAAGCTGACCACACAAAGCTTGTTTGAAATGTAAATAGGCCTGAAAATAAAATAATACGTAGGCTATATTAGGAAGAGACCATACGCAAGTTACTTTATTGTAAAATTGCCTTCAAGCTTGACCAACCACTGACAATGTAAAACTGTTTTGTGATGACTTTGTTTTTGCAAGGAATGGATTATGATTAAATTTGTTTTTAGGGACATTTCAAACTTTTCTGCACATTCAAATTCTTTTTTAAAAAAAATAGGCAGTATCTTACAGGATCAAAATTGTTTCTCTTGAAATATGTTGAACACAAATTGCCAAGTAGACATTCAATGATGCAAAAATGTTATTAGTAGAAGCTGTAGAGATAAATGGAATACAAGGTTGAATCATGCTGTCATTTTATGACTTGAAATCCAGTGGACTGATTTTGATAAACTTTTGTACTGAAGGCACAAATTTGCAAAACAATCCAAGATGTCCTAAAGATGAGCCCAAATAATAACACATTTTGAATAATTGCTGTTTAGAAGACAGCAAAATTAAAATCTGAAAATGACAGCAGAGGAAACACATCAAAATCTTTACTCAATTCAAGTTACTTTTTTGGGAGGAGAGAGAGGTCTTACCTTTGTCAAACAGGATGCCATTGATGAAGGTATCAAACTCCTCCATGTTTATACTTGGTATACTACGAACCCAGAAACAGAACAGTCAAGGATTAAATTCAGCCAACATTTTTTTTCTGTATCTAAAAAAATGGCAGTTTACTGAATTCACTAGGCAACTTGGGATCAAATTAAATGAGAATAATCCATTAGATGAGTTTGCATAAATGAATAATTTAATTGTAATGGTAGAGGGGTAACTGATGTGCACTTTGACCGTTTAGAAGCATCATGACCAAATACTTGTGATGAAGCAAACAATGGGAAAATGCTTTGAATATAACACAGACGTGCCTGTGTTATTTATTGATCTCAGGCAAGCTTTTTACAGCATATATAGAAGTGAATTATTTATTGCTTTAGGATCTTATGCTATTGCAGAAAAAATAAAAAGGAACTGAAGATAAATGAAATATTGTTAGAAATCCAAACAAATTTGTGCTAATGTTGATGATATTTTCTTGGTTGCAAGAAATGTTCCAGCATTAAAGGAATTATTATCTGCATTTGCAGCTGAGGGAAGAAAAATGGGTCTAGAAATTAATGAAGTGAAATCTCAATACATAAAAATGCCCTCATTACAAGCAAGAACATAACCTCAAAACTTACCTATAGGTGATTTCAATTTTGAAGGTGTTGAAAGTTTTACGTGTTGGGATCAGTGAAAATAAAATTTGGAAAGACATTCATTTTAAAATGATGACAGCAAACCATGCTATTGTGTACATACTAATCTTTGTCCCAAAACACTAAAGTAATATTCAAAACTGAACAAAATCTATTCTAAGTTATGTGTCAGAAACTTGGACAATGACTTCAGAAGAAATAAAGGCCCTTAGAATGATGAGGAGGAAGAGGATGTGTAGAAATTATAAAATTCATAAAATCTGTGACAGATGGTGAGGGCATAATGAAAAAATTAATAACAAAAGAACGCATAAAACATTAGGACAACAAAAATGGAAGGAAGACTGGTAGACCAGGTAAGAGATGTAGAGATGAGGCTGAAGAGGATTTGAAAATTGTGGGAATATGAAATTGGTATAAAGTGGCTAAGGACCACCAAGAATGGAGGGAAAATGCACTGAAAGCCAAGGTCCACAATGCCTATAGTTCTTGAAAGGAAGAAGAGTGATGTTGAATGGCAGGATGATGAAATGAATTAGTTGTAAAGGACGTGGAGGGAAGTGGTCATGGCCTAATTTAAGGTTTGCCTTTAGGAACTGAGGGAAAGGAGGACAACCCCATCATGTTCGCTGCTCTCTGAGCCAAGATTCTTGCCCATAACCTCTGGAATGAAAATAATGAATTGACTGCTACTTTGGGTATAACCAGGTATTGAACACATTACTCCTTTAATTACATTGTGAAACATGGATTTTCAGCATTATTTTCTACATGTATAGTCGCTTTAACATAAAAATCTGAATAGTAGCCTTCTCATGATAAATGTGAGGAAATTTCCCTATTGTAAATAACAATAAATCTTCAATCAGTATAACTGGTATTGGGGGATATTTAAACCTGGGAACATGTAAAATGAAAAAGGAGTGACGTTCGTTTTACAAATAACAATACTATCAGTGCTAGAATCCTATAAGTTAATCCCTCTTCAAATTATAATTCAGTCAATGAGGTTATACCATTCTTTGACGTACTCGAAAACATTTATCTTGAAACTAGCACATTACCTCCATTTCAGTACTATATAAATTACATAAATTTAGAATTTATTTTACAGGCCTACAATGTGCTTTAATTTACTGCTAAAATACTTTTATTAACATTGTATTGCATTGATGTTAATCTATATTAATGTTGGATGTGAATACCTTATATTTGGTTCTACGTATTTTATGCCGGAGTACATTTCACACGTTTTCAGTTAATATTACATGCCTCTCTAAATTTGAATTATTGTGATGATAAAATTTTTAAACAGTTGCATCACCTTTAATGTCCATGTACTTAGAATGTTTCGTACTTGCAAATAACACGAAACCTTCCATTTTTCTTCAATTAATTTATTATCCATTTATAACTGAATGGTTAAAGTTACCGTAATAAGGGATATTGTGCTTAAAATTACAAGTATTTTTCAGAAAATGAAAGAGTACTCACAGGTCGTCGTAAACAAATTTTTCGTACGATGGGCGTTAAATTATCTTGTAACGTCACACCAATCACAGCGATACTAAAGCATCACGTGAGTGCTATTTCCAATGCATGCGTAATATGCATAAAAACTATTTAAAATATTCTCGATAATTAATATATATAAAATAAATTTAAATTAATATCATATGTTAACTTAAATTAGAATTTTTGTGATAATAAAATTTAGAACAACAGTTACGTTATCTGTAATGTACGAAAAAGATCTTTCATCTGTCCTCCTTCAATTTTGACGTCACAGGAATCGCAGCGATACTGAAGCATTGCGTGAATCTGTGTCGGATAGATGCCTAAACACTCGTAGAAATACGATTTAAGCCAGTCTGGATGGTTAATTTATAGGTAATAATAGATTTAATTTATATAATACACTTACGCTCCGTATGACTGTCTATTAAAAAGTTGACCTGAAATTGCAAATGGTTGTTTCCGATCTCGTGTTAAAGAGAATGTACCTAAAAATCTCATGAAATACTTTACGTCAACAGTTACAGACATGGTGTGAATATAAAACTTTGAGGTTATGTTCGACGAATTTCACATAGTGTGTGTATATAATTAAGTTCTTTGTCCCTTCAAAGAAAACCAATTTCTGACATACTTACGGTTGCAAGTGATGATGAAAGCATTTGACCTGAGTCAGTTTTGATCATATAATCATCTCTTCATGAGACAAGACCACCAACTCATGAACTACATTGAATTATAGGAGATGGTGCACAGGCATAATGATTGCAGCTGAGTATAAGTGACAGTTGCAACTGTATTTGGTTGAATTCACTATTTACACTGAACTCAATAATTAACCTTTGGGCTTGAAGTTCATCTAATTAATAATTAAAAATTCAGTTGCTACTGCAAAGAAAACAATCCGTCACCAAAGATCTGTTGTTGATGCTGTTTATGGAAATAATTGATGTGTAATTTGAGAATAATATGAAACCCATAAATATATTCTGTGGTAAAATGCAGAATTACCGAACATTAAAGATGGTGGCACACACAGCCTTAAAAGGTTAATATTAATTTTGGAACGTTGTTATCAGAGCAATGACTACAAGACTAAATTGTTAATTGACTTCACTGGAATGCTGTCTGAACATGTGAGTATATCATTAGAATGTAATTACATTCTATAGGTCCGTCAGTGTTTTGATCAAGTTGCATAATTTTAAATGTATTTCTCTTTGCTGCACTGGAGTTCTGTTCTATTTAGATCCATATTCTTTTGATCATATTATATGAATTAATTCCCCTTTTTTGCCACTGATGATGACCTCTTGAGGTGGATACACGTTTAGCATTAGTGTCCTGTATAATGTAAACAGTTTTGTTTGTATGTTTATTTTTTATAGTCCAATGCACTATGTGGTATGCAAGGTTTGAAGGGAATTTTCTGTTTGTCATCACATTCAGGCTGACCCTGGGGTTAATTTACCTTACTAAAGAATCGATCAGTATCTTATGCTCTTCCCCAAGTGGTAAGAGCATAAAACTGTACCTCCATCCCTCATACGTCGTCGTGTGGTGATTAACCTTATATGTGTCCTTCTGGAAGAGGGGTTTAAACCCTGTACATGAGGGCTACTGGACAGTCTTTACCTCTGGGATTCATGATTTAGTAGTGTTTTATTGCATTGCATGGTCAGCTGGGCAGAACGTAAGCCTGGACACATTTGATGAAGGTTAATGAAGCATGAGGACATCTTTACCATTTACTTGCATTAACATTACTTTGTGCAGCCACAGCTCCGTACTCTGGGACTCTTAGGATCTACAATGTATTTTTTTCTGTCTTGTATCATTTCCCAGGAAGTCTGTTTATCCTTTGTCTTCTTTTTAAAAATTGACATTATCTACATTTCAGAACAAACATAACGTAGTGTATCTTTTTCAATTCCTGTTAACTCTCATTTTTCCAATCTGAATGAATCTGATTTTGGCAGCATTTCTTTTCTGATTTCTTTCCCCTGTCCCATAAATTGCACTCCCTTTAACCATCAATGGATTTTTAACCTGTAATTCATTGTTTCCATAAGCATTTGTTACCTTCCGTCTTGTTAGCTTAATGACGTATGTCATCTTGTACTATTTTTCCTGCTGTAACATTTTTTCACTCTTGTGCTTGGAATTGTAGTACGTCAGACAAGGTTACATTTGTAAACAGAATAACACAACAGAAAAGTAACATAGCACTACGATATGACAAAATATCTGTCAACGTGATTAACACGGTAGCAAGAGTCAGGACCCATTGGTTATATTGAATCAGGAGAAAAATTTTAATGGAAAACAGACCATCAGATGACTCGTGTAAAGGAATTGCCAAACCAGTTTATAAGAAGGGAAACAGGAAACTATAAAGGTGTTAGACATTAAAAATTAGCAGAAGAATACTTTGTAATGCAGTCAAAAATTTATGGTCTTGACCTAGACACAGCTGCTCTCAGACAACTCTCCGTGAGCTGGAACACGCTCTTGCCGCCTTTGGTACAGTTGCCGGAAGCAGTTCTGGAATTGCTGTGTCTGGATGTCACACGGAGCATCTTGCCTGCTGTTGAAACGATGACCTCTCAAATGTTTTTGTCTCTTGAGGAAAGAGACATCAGATGGTGGGAGATCATGCAATTAAGGTTGACGTGATAACACGACAGTAACTGAGTAACTTGACGCATGTTCAAAAGTCTCTTAAAACTCCATGGCAATTTCCATGTGTTTGAAGATCCTGCATTTTTGTCAACATTCATGCAGCCGTTCTGACACATGAATTGTCCACTTGGTTCAATTTTTTTTTTTTTGGGGGGGGGGGTGCTGGGAGAGACATGTGCAGTTAAATGACTTCCACCACAGTCATTTTCCCTAAACATTTTCTTCCGTCTTTGGATCTCAGATGTCATTTAAACATGGTAATACAATCTGAGGAATCTTCTCTATGAACCTAATGCATCATTTCTAGTGTTTCAGAAGCAACTTTAATGAAGTGTTGACAGAATTTTATGTTAGAGCCATTTTGCAACTTCAGTCTTGTGCGGAGTATCATTTGGCAAACACTGTTTTCTAACTGAATATACGACAGAGAACTAAGTTTTATTATTATTGTTCCAGACTATTATGCAGGTGGTGACCTGTTGCGGGAGTGGGGAGGAGTGTTTTCAGTTGGCGAAACGAGATTGTACCTTGCAGAAAATCATCGACACTATGGAGTATCTGTATAAGGTAGGCAAACAGTCCAACTGCAGTTCTGTGCAATAAAATATATAACAAGGCAGTTTAAAGCCTGAAGGTACTTGATTAATTGTGTGGCTACAGAATTTTTTGTTTCATAGAATGTTATTTTATAAGTGAACACCTGCTTTTCTCTGCATTTGCATAAACGAAGTCTTAAAAATATTGCTGTGGCCTGCAGAGGCAGACAGTATCGTCTGCTGCTACTACTCTGTGACCTGGTTCAATGCACTGGTCTTGGACCAGTGTGCCTTATCTTGGTGAAGTTTGTGAATATTGTGGATGTAGATCAGGGGTTACCAACCATTTACAGAGCTTCAGCCGCATTTACTATTTCACCATGGACTGGCAGACCTTGAGGGTGTAAGTGAGGCTAGTATGTACTGACACCATGGGAATTTATTAAAAAATAATTAAACCAATCATAATATTACAAAAAAAAACATGTTAATATATTGTTCAACAATTTACTGTATGCAATTCTGTCATTAGTGAAACATGTAGCATTGTTTTCAAGTCCTTGTGACATATGCAGCCTGGGAATTCATGCTCTACACTACTAGCAGACCGAAAAACGTCGAGCTTGTTCTTGTTTGATGTAAACTTCACTAATACTTCAAAGTACTTGTGGTTACAAAATAGCCAGTAATGACAACAAATGAATAATGATACGAGGAGCAGCGAAAATCAACAAAGACATGTGAGAAATATCTTTGTACCAAAGACCAGTGTTCTCCACTCAGGAAGAATACACATACGCACATCATCATTTGCTTACCAGGTCGTTTACATCAAAGGTATTTACTTCATTCTCGCCTACATCAATTGGGGCACTCAAATCTGTGGCAGATTTGAATCGTGTTTCATTGATGAGTGCTGTGGGTAATTACCAATTTATAAATTATTTAAAACTACACTTTTTTGGAATTATTCCTCTGGTGTTCCAAAATAAGATGCCTGTGTGATTGAAAGACCTACCAATGGCTAGGAAGCCCGAGGAAGTTATCAGAGACAGACTCTCTACTATGGATGCTACAAGAATTGCAGGGGCATTACTGAGTTGTTCTCTAGGCAAAATCTACATTAGAAAGACAAGATTAGCACTGTGGCAAAAAGACCCGAATGGAATGTGAAAGCGACATGCAAGATTAAACAAAACTCATTTTACAGCTCTTATGAAATCGAGGAGGTGTTAATCAGCACATCCTTCAACAAATCTGAATGAAAGCACTCAAGTGCACAGTTAAACACGCTGCAGCCGCGGGGGGGGGGGGGGGGGGGTGTTACTGAGGATATTGGTGCATGTTTGTGTGTGTCCAGTACTGTTCTTAAGATGGGGCAGCCACCCCAGTCTTCGTGGGCCTCTCACATCGACTTTCTTTCATTTGACACAATGTTTCATCCACTGAAAGAGTCATTTAATAAACTGAAAATAAAATAAGTAAATAACACTGGTAACTATGGGTGAAAACTATAGAAATTTCTTGCCTTTTAAAACTTCACAAATAATTTTCTAAGGAAACACGTCAATTCTCTTAATAAATACCTAACCTGTTACTATCCCTTTCATACTCAGATCACTGACTGACGAGAGGCTACAGAGGGTGCTGAAGTATGTTGCCGCAATATGTGTGTTCTCTCTTGTTGCCACCTTACTTTGGTCGTCTGTTGCTTCTTCTGTCACAGAGAGCTCCTCATTCATTACGCGGTAACCCTCACCTCGAGGCACAATGACCCAGGAAGTTGGCTTCCACTGCACCCTTGTTCCCGAAACAAGCCACTCGGTGACATCATCATCAGCTGTGAGGTCAATGACAAATAAATGGAGAACATGCCGTTTTCTCTGTAGCCTAAGAAGGCAAGAAATTATATTCGTTTTTCTTCTGTACAGTAACTACTGTTTCTGTCTTTTCCTCTAATTCTGGCTATCCACGATTTAATTCTAGGGTGCAGAAGTGTCTGCAAATGGGTAAAGTAAAGCTGTGATTCTATGTACCATGTTGGTGCTGGGGGGAGGGGGAACAGGTATAACTGCAACTCATTCTTGACCTCTGCACTAGATGGAGGTCAGTGGTCACCGTGGTTTACCCCTGGATAGGAGGTTGGGTGAGTCAAAGAACCAATCTGCACACAAAGCTAGAAGAGGTCATTTGTTTCTGCCAGGGATCAAACCCTGATTGTGAGTCCATATTCAGACACTGTACAGACTGACCAATGCTGTATCTCTAACAAATGCTTTCGTGCTGTGTGATCACTCTGATTGTATATATTTTGTAGAATGATATCACATATTGTGAATTTGGCCATAAGAAACACTTTGTTATTAATGTTAATCATTTGACTTTTGTTTTTAGGGCAGGCAGATGATGGTTCTTCTCTGATGATATTGATGCCGCACC